TTCCCAGTGAAACAGCGCGCACCATTTTCGCGCGCATCGAAACGCCCAGTGAAACACGTTGCCTGCGGCGAGTGCGCACTTAGTGCGCACTAGTTCTCCCAGTGAAAAACGCTATAAATCGAACTCAGTCGGCCAGTATTCGCAAGACTGCAACGCCGTATGAAGTATGGGTCGGAAAGAAGCCTAATCTCAGTCACGTCAGAATCTTCGGCTCGGAAGCTTTCGTACACGTGCCGGATCAATTTACCAAGAAATTTGACGCTCGAGCGAAGAAAACAATTCTCGTCGGGTACGATGGTGAATCCGCCAATTATCGCTTATATGATCCAACTACGAAGCGTATTTCCGTATCAAGAGACGTCGAGTTCAATGAGAAGTCAATCAACGATAAGAAGACGGAGAGCTCATCAAAGCAAATTGAAATGATCCTGCCTGTCACTGACGACGATGAAGAGGTGGAAGATGTCAATGACGAAAATGATGAGGTGGAAAGTGTCACTGACGACAACAATGAGGTGAAAGAGCCAGATCATAAGCCTGTTGAAGCTGTCAATCCAGTGATCCAGCGGGGAGCAAAGGCACCAGAAGATCCAGGGCCAGCTGTCAGAACGTCAACGCTGAGAAACAGACAAAATCTAAAAACACCTGCCCGATATCAAGTAAATCTAGTGGAGTACAGCGTACCGACAACCTTCAAAGACGCAGTAACTGGTCCAGACGCCGACAAGTGGATAGAAGCCATCAAAGATGAAATGAAATCACACCAGAAGAATCAAACCTGGGTGATCATACCTAAAACTGCACAACAGAAGGTCATCGACTCGAAATGGATTTTCAAGATACAGCAGGACAAGAAAGGAGAGATTCAACGATATAAAAAGAGGCTATTTTTGCGGTCACTCTTTGTATAATACACATCTATGCTTACGTTTTCCGTTAAAACATATATTTTCTGTTTTATATATAACATGTAATAGTACTTTATTTGCCAGTGTTGTATATTTGGATTTCCTCAAACTGTCCGCGATTTGTTGATCCACTATAGCTTTTGCTTCTGCAAATTGTTTCTTTGGTATCTGCCATTTCTTCAGTTTCTGTGTCTTCTACGTTTCACTCAGCTCCGTGATGCCTGTGCGCCACGCAAAAATGCCGCTTACACTTGATACAAGGCATCTCGATCAACGACGCATCCTTGCAAGATTCCTTAGAGCACAGGAAGCTTGCCGATTGTCCTACAACGAATTTTGCGGTCTCCGTTTTTAAACACTCGTGCGATACCATATAGAAATGTTCTTTGCAGAAGGTGGCCTGACAATGCTCGCACACAAACGGCAAGAAGTCCAACAATTTGCAGTCCGCCACCGAACATTGTTCGCCAGTCGCAGGAAATTCGATTACAGCAACAAAAGGATATCGATATTATAATTGGATTTAATACTTTGGATACTGTATTTAATTTTCCGGCGTTCAGGAAGATTGGAAGAGATATTTAGTTGTGCAGTGGTG